ATGCAAAGGGGAGGGGGACCAAAGGGAACAATTCATATAAAAAATGTTCTCCAATTATCCAAAAGGGGACCAAATTTTCACCTCGAATTATGCACAAGGAGATCATAGGGAACAATTCATATGATAAACTGTCACCTCTTATTATGCAAAGGGGACCCAGGGGAAAAATTCATATGATAAGTTTACACTTCTTATTACGCAAAGGGGGGACCAAAGTGAAAAATTCATATGAAAATGTATCACCTCCTACTTTGCAAAGAGAAACATTCATATTAAGAATTTCCATCTCCTACTTTGCAAAGAGGCGCTCGGAGGGAAACATTTATGTGAAAAATGTCCACCTCTCATTATGCAAAGGGGGACCAAAGGGAAAACAATCATATGAAAAATTATCACCTCCTTTTATGGAAGGAGAGACGAAAGGGAAAAAAACATATGAAAAAAATTCCCCTCCTGTTATACTAAGGGGGGAGTAAAAGGAAAAACTTATATGAAAAATTATCACCTCATATTATGGAAAAGGGTGACCAAAGGATCATAATGATTTAAAAGAGCGCAAACTTGATTTCCTAGGGATCCATTTTGTTAGTTTATGGATCTTTGTTAAACGTTTTATGGATCATTTGAAATTTGTTTGAGGGTGATTTGTACAATTGATAGCTCATTATTTAGACATTTAGTGGTACCGTAAAACGGGGTAACATTGTTAGTTTTTTTTAAAGTTTATTCTAATTTTTTTTTACACCAATTTAATATTTTTCAAATTTTGTTTCTTCTTTACACAAGTACTGAGGATTCGTTAGTAATATGTTTAACCCGTAAAGTACCAGGACGAACGATTTTTTTTTCAACAATCTCGTTCTCAGCAATGCCTCATCCGATTTTCATGAACTTGGATTTTTATTCAAGGGGAATAGTTGAACTAACTTTTGTCGTAGGTACCACCCCCTTGGAACCCTCCCCGTTCTTGAGAGATGTAAATATGTCTGTTTTTTTTTGTACTTTTTTAACCAGTTTGTCCAAATGTTTTGAATTTTCACGCGAATCGGTTGTCTGGTGCAGCAAATGATATCAGATAGATGAAATATGATTAGTAAGACTGAATTTAGATATTTCCATAACGTATGGCTACGATATTATCGGTTCCGAGAGTCCCGGAAATCGGTTCTATAGGACATAGTTCATAGTTCAAACAGGTGAATAAATAATATGAATATAGTTTTGACGTAGAACTACGTCTGTGATTTCTATAGGCCGAACATGTAACGAAATTTTGAAAGATTTTGAACGTTAATAACTCAGCTGCCCCTGGACCACTTTCAATAATTTTATCACCAATCAATCAGAAATATTTCTACGCATCGATAGCAATGCTGTTGATTTTAAACAAAAAACTATTGAAAAATTGGAAAATGTCAAGGATTGTCCAAAAGCGTCTAATTAACTAACAAATCCACCAATCACGTATGTACATGCATATGCTGCTTCCTCAACACTGTCATCAAAGGGTCTTTAGTAGACAAATCAAGTCGAAGTGGCATTCGCCTCCGATCTTCGGGCATGCGCGAATAGGGAGGATGAAATTGCATAACATTTTGCACACTCATCGCCATATTCAGAACCACACGCTCCTAACGAGCACACAAAATGCTCTCCAGAGTTGTAATCTTGTAACCAAACTTGGAAGCGGGGGTACAAGTGATTTTGATCGACTTTCTGTTTCGTTAATAACTCGACGGCAAAAACATCCCTTGATGCGTTTGTTGTTCTGGATGATAGAAGAGCATAGCAGAAATAGTGCGAAATAGGTTAGTGAAGTCATGGTCATCAAAAGAGGGAATCGATGAAGATAATTGACGTTAACCCCTCTGCTTCTAAGCCCCTTAATGCAGTCGTCGTCATAGCAATCACAACGACAACCAGGGTTCTGCATTTTCGAAACAAAGAAAAGAAAATGAACTCTCCGCAGAATCACTTCATTTCGAGCAATATCATTTTCGTGTAAGTCATCGTGTTTCTTGTTATCGAGTCATGTTGAACATTCCTCTTTTCAAACATGAATGGACTATCACTTGTTTCGTTCGTCAAGTGCTTCAGTTCATTTCATTTGAAGCAAAGACTTGTTTCAATTGACGCAATGCACGACTCGAAAACTGCTTCCTTCGTTTTTTTCCACTTTCACTTCAATTCGGGGCTCATTCGACTTGTTACGACTTGACGACGCAGGCATCAACATATAGTATCCGAATAGTTTCCGCACAATATCGGTTGCCGATAGGGATGGCATCCGGATTATATGTAGTAATACTAGATTCTTTTGTATTAAACGAAAATTAAATTAACGAGGCCATTCTGGAGTCCAAGATGGCAGCCATCGGGGTCGGGGAAAGTCTCAAATACCCCCCACAATACGTGTATTTTCAGAACGGGAACGACGCAAAGGTGTCGGAAATCGATATTCGTCTTTATTTTGGAATCCAAAATGGCGGCCATCGGGTTTCAGAAAAAGTTTTAAATACCCTACAATAGGGTATTTTCGGAACGGGGATGCCGCGTAGATGCTGAAAATCGATATCCGAAGCCATTTTGGAATCCAAGATAGTGGCCATTGGTTTTTTGAAATGTCAAATACCCTAAGATATGGTTATTTTCGGAACGGGACGCTATGTTTTCGATATCCGACGCTATGTTGGAATCCAATATGGCGGCCATAAGGATTCAGAAAGTGTCAACTATCTTACAATATGGGTATTTTCGGAACGGGGATGCCGACAATCGATATTCGATGCCATTTTGGAATCCAAGATGGTGGTCATCAAGTTTCATAAAACGTGTTATGGGTGTTTTCGGAACAGAGACAACGCGTGACTGGCGAAAAAGGATATCCGATGCTATGTTGGACTCCAATATGGCGGCCATAGGGTTTCAGAAAAAGTGTCAATATGGTTATTTTCGGAACAGGGACAACGCGTAGATGCCAAAAATCGATATCAGATACTACTTTGGAATCCGATATGGTGGCCATCAGGGTTCAGAAAGTGTCAAATACCCTACAATATGGGTATTTTCGAAATGGGGACAACGTGCAACGTACCGAAAATCGATATCCGATGCCATTTTGGAATCCAATCTCTAGACGTCACCCCAATTCAAAAAGTACCCATTTTGATGGGTAAACAAACCACCCGACAATGATAAATTTGGCATCCACGTGCACAGATCTATGCGCATACGCTTAAATGAACCGAGTGAACAAACAACAAAAGTCATAAAACTGCACGAATTTGGATCGAACAGCTTCGCTTCAATGCAAAAGTAATTTTATTTGACAATGAAAGAATAAATGAAGACTAGTCAAGCCAAAACAAACTGCATGAAAACTGATCGAAAGTGGTTCTGTTGATGTTGAAGGGGGCATGCTCGAAGCGAAGACAGAATGACTTTCAATTGAAAGTGATGGTCGACAGCTTCATCGTCGCTTGACGATTTTCGATTGAAAGTGACTTTGTGGGGCCCTGACGACAACTAGCATCGCACCGCTTTTGGTTCATAGATTACACTTGCTGGTTGCAATTGTGCTGTTCGAAATTTTCGAAGGACCACCCAGGGTTGCCTGAAAGTTCAATTATTCACTATTTTCTAGGGATGTCAAAAAGTTCAATTCGATTAAATATTTATCGAATTTACAATTACTTGAGCGCGTAACCGACATTCCTTCTTATTTCTAATCGTTTGATTTAGCGCAGTAGAGAAAATAAATATAAGTACTAATTTATCTGAACAGATATAGAGAAGGACCATAACATTTTTAAATGAATTCGCTGAAAAAAATGTTAAACGTCTTTTTGCTAAAGGCTAAGATTTACCAACTTGTTGAGAGAAGGAGTTGAATGAGAAAAACTAAAAAGGGGAGAAGCTTTAGCTGGGTGGACACTGATATTCTACCGGCTGTTTCTATACAACGCATTATTTAGTATAGAGCGGCACAGTAGATGAAGTGTATAATAAAATACCCAAAATGGGTGGGGCATGATTTTCTAGCTTTTGAAAAATGATTATTTTTCATATCCGATTGACAAGCGACAAAATGGTAAAAAGAGGAGGAACTGACCGAAGCTCCTCCTATTTGGAGGTGTCGTTAGCATCTAATGTTTCATTCAAAGTCCAGTGCCGTATTATTTATTGAATCGCAGTTAACAAATCATATTTATTATATAAGACCACGTTGTCCTAAATCACCATTGCGTACAACCGTATAGGGATGTCCCTTGTAGTTGTTTAATATGTTTGTAAAATATGTAACACATACTATATAAAAACTAAAAAGATATTAACGGAAATACCCTAAGCTAGAATGTGGCACCAGCGTTTCCAATTAGGAAAAATCGTAGAGAGTAAATTTAATCAATATTTTATGCTATCAAAGTTACCCGCATTATCAATGATACTCCGTTTTACGGCACATTTTTCAATTTTGTTGCTAAACTTTGCTTAACATATGGATCATATTGATATTTTTTATGGATCATTTATATTTTTTTTTGGGTGGTGACTTGTGGAAAATGAAAAAGAGCTGAGAGATCTCAAATTTGAGTCAGTTTCTATGTTCATATGTGTTGCTATGACAAATATATGCTAAGCTAATGTTACTTAAATTTGCTTAAAACGTTAAAATACTTCCGATTTACTATATACTTTTATAAATTTTTTGCATTAAACCATACCTAAGACTATAAAAAACTGTTGGCATAAATTGTAGGTATTAAAATTATTATAAATCTTTAAAGTTTAAAAAATGATGTTCAAAACCTCTTAAAATAAACGAAAAGATCGTTGAGAAATTATCAATTCCAGCTTATAATTTATGCTAGTATAATTTTCAAAGCAACAGCTGACCAGCATGCTCCTGTTTATCTCCACATTCCCAGTAAATCCCCCCGAGGGATTTTGCAAAAGAGTATCAACCACACCGTTCGGCGGTAGGTACAATGCAACTGCATACGCGGAAAAACGCATCTTTCCTGGTCTGCGTGGCAAAGTGTGTGCGAGCTTGTGCGCTAATCACGTTTTTGCAATTTGCACAAAAGCTGCAATTTTCGCTTTATGCTATTATCCGGTTTGCATACGTTTCATTGCTTTGGAGGTGCTCTACCAGGAAATATGGAAATGAAGAGTGGCCCCATGTCCTGGCTGCGCGCAGATGCATTCATATCGGATGGGGCTGATGTTGAACGTGCATCCGTTGATAATCGTTCAATTATTTACCCGTTTGTGGCGTCTTTTGTGAAATGTAATTTGAAAGGCACGATTGTGCAGTAGCTGGTGATTTCAAAACTGCACATTTTGAATGCATTTTGCGGTGGCGTTCTTTGAGTGGAATCATATCGAGTTTTGTTTTTGGCGATTATTTTCCCTTCAGTTTATTCTCATTGATTCGAAATTTTCCTAATAAATGATACATTCTGCAAACCAAATCCGTTGGTAATAATTTCACAATCGTAACCTATAATGATAAAACATTACACAATTTATTCTCAAACGGTTGAAAACTTCGTCAACTTACGTGCCATCCATGCACCCAATATCCGGTCGTCTGAGCCGTCTTTCCGATTGTCATAGTAAGAAATTTGGTAAAACTTTCCAAATTGGCACAAACCAGCCAACCTAATTTTGTCATTGCAAACTGTCCGGTCAAGGTGGTTTTCACAAAATACGGTGTAACGGTTTGACATTCCACTCCGAACGGACGCAACTCTTCCCGCATGGCTAGACTGAAGCTCAACATGAACGCCTTGGATGCACCGTATATCAACACAGTAGGCACTGGCGTTAGTCCGAAGGCAGAGGAAATGTTGATCACCAAACCGCGGAGACGCTGCTTCATCTGAGGGAGCACTATGTGACTCATCATCACGACTGCATTGATGTTTACATTGACCACACGCTGATGACCGTCAATCGAGTCAGCCTCGAAGTAGGTGGCGTAACACTGACCGGTACCGACGTTGTTCACTAGATGGGGTTAGTGTTATGCATAATCAGTCTCATTTGTCCCAGTTTAACTGATGGAAATATTTTACCTAGAACACCGATCTCAAGGTCAGCAATTTTTTCCTTAAGGTAGTTGTACACTTCGTATGCCTTAGAAAAATCGACTGGAATTGACCTGACTTGCACTTTGAATTTCTCTTCAATTTCCTGAACGGTTTTGGCTAATTTTTCATCTGGCATCGCGATGATCACGATGTTGAGACCTTGTCGGGCAAAGAACATCGCATACTGCCGTCCGATTCCATCTGAGCCTCCGGTGATAACTTAAGAAAAATCATATTTAGTAATCATAATGCTTCATTTGAGATCTAGAACCTTACCAGCCCATTTTCCGTAGCGTTGCACGTAGTCACATCCAACTGTCCACTGCTGCTTACACAGGCCCCAACAGATACCGACCAATGATTTGAACGTGTCGTAGCTCCACAGCACTAACGCACAGATTCCCACAGCCGAGAGTACATCCATCTTGATTGGCGATCGTTTACCTTACTGAGGCTGGTGCAGTGCAAGTGCAAGTGCAAGTGAGATTTTTTGTTTGCACCTTCAGCTAAGTATCATAAACTTCGTAAACAGCACGTGGCTGCGTGTTGAGATAGAACCTTGGGGTCACGGCAATATACGGTATCGTATCTGAACTGGGTTCACTTGTTCAGTTCCGAGCCGGTATGTTAGTGTGAGTGAAGTGTTGCAGTGCATTTGAAAGGCTTTGCATAATATTTATATTTGGATTGCAGTTGACTTGGTGCAATGTACGATTACATTATCATGGATACACTTATATATAATATAAGAATAGTAGGTTTATCTCAACTTCAATCAGCCCGTGTTCTCCCATTCCTTGCATCTGAAAGAAGAAGACTAAACGTCTTATCTTATCATGTTCAATTAGCTGGATCTTAGACAGCGGTCTCATATAGGTTAGTCGGCTGAAGCATGCAAATTTAATCAATTAATTTAGATGGTCTGTTCGAGTCTTGAAATCTTTAAATTAAATGAATCCAAACCATACAACCAGCACGCATGGGAGTAAAAGAGAAGGAATAACAGCTGCCAATATTTATCTTTAATTTGCATCATTTGATGTCGATAAAGCAGAGCATGCTATTATTTTGGCTTGGTTTGACATTTCTCTTCTGGCATAATATCGGCGCCAGCCCGTGTAACGTCAAAAAGAGCTGAAACATTCAGATAGTGGTTATCGCAATGAATATCTCCATAATCCTAACTTCAATCTGTCAAACTGTCTTAAGCAAAGTTGTTCCTTTTTAGTTTAAGCTGAAGGAATATTATTTCTTCATACATTTCAACCAATATCCTCATATAAATTTTAAATCATAATCGGGGTTGGCCCGATGAAAAAATGATTAAAAATTTCCTCCATATAAATGTGGGCCAGTCTAACCTACATGTTCATACCCAGTTGGTTACTGGGGTAATTTGACCGTTTTTAATCTGACCAGTTTTTAGTTAGAACCTATCTAATCTGCACGCCGTGCAAACTCAATTTTTTTATCAAACGTCATTTAGCACATGGAATGGAGTAAAATGAAATGGAACGGTTCGGAACGGAACGCAAAATCACAACAAAACAGCTTTGCTGATGGTCATAGGGTTACTAGAAGTTCAAATTAAAAATGAACCCCGTTAATATGCACGAAATGTCGTTCAGATTAACGGGGGTCCACGGTACTTAGATTTTGAGTTGCAATAAAAAGAAGCATGCAAAATAATTTTTGTTACATCATAGGGTTCTAAGGATGTAATGTCAGCCTAGCCCCTCACTTCAGCCTATCAAGCAAATAACTAATTTATTCAGCAATAATACAGATGAGTAATGAAAAACTAATATCACATCTACTGTGAAATTGTAATCCGTAAATGAATTGCCTATTTTTGGGACAAATTTAGTACGTTTATTGCTCTTTTTCAAAGAAAAAGTTTAGTGAAATTTTCTTAATTTTCGATTTCTAGGCGCCATAATCATGCCGTAATATTGCACTAATGAAAATCTACACTGCGGTAGTCATCAAAAACCTGATAATTTCATGAATTGAAAGGGCTTACCTTTTTGTAGCAATATCAATATCACAGTTTTCACTTGTATTGTAAATTTAGAAAATTTAACGCAAATTGCGCTTTAAAACTATGGGCCGAACTTTAGGGACGTGATTTTGAGACGTGTTTTTAATTATGGCCTACGAAATTTATATGATGACTTTATATTGGTATTGGTGAAACCATTTTCGTAGACGACGAGTCTGCACACTGGTCCTGTAGGAAAATCCCATAATCAAATGTCAGTTTCGAGAAACATAGCGAATGGTTTCTTTACCTTTTCACTCCACTGAAAAGCCCCGAAGGCAAAATGGATCGAAACGGTACGTCAATTCGTGTCTACAAAGCTTCTGTAGCTCTTTAATCCTATGGGGAAATCCGATAAGCAAACGTCACTAGATGTCTGAAAAATGGCAACGAAAACGCCCGTAGCCAAGTGTCAATCTTTGCGTGAAAATTCCATGTCCGTAAACGAACTAGTTTTCTAAAAGGGTGTATACCCGTACATGAAAAAAAAACAAAACTACCCAACAGATGAGTTATTTTATATTAGTATTTAGAAATGCCTCTCATGTTAAGAAATACAAAACAGCCAGTGAGTAAAAAACTCTGCCATTTTATAGCTAACACGAATGTTTACATTTTTTTAACTCTTTATTTGTCCCAAATTAAAAAAAAATTACATATTATTTTTAACCTAGGTGCTCCAGTTACTACACTAACTTACCAGCCTTAATTGTTATGATATATATCTAAGTATTTTTACATTGTTCCTGTCTTGGCAATTCAGTATTTTAAACAGGTTTTTTTAAACCTGCATGTCAGTATAACAATTGATATCTTAAAACTAAAAACTAAAACTAAATCTTATCTAAGTATAAAGAGAATTAATCGTTGCAATTGAGGATTGCAATGATTTTTGCCTGAAATTATTAATTATTTTGTTGGACATTTGTTCTAAAGTCTCAACATTCGAAATTCTATGCACTTCGGTAGTACTGTACCAGGGAGGCAACTTCAAAATCATTTTCAGAACTTTGTTCTGAATCCTTTGAAGTGCTTTTTTCCTGGTAGTGCAACAACAAGACCATATTGGCACAGCGTAAAGCATGGCCGGTCTAAAAACTTGTTTAAATACGAGAAGTTTATTCGTCAGGCAAAGTTTGGATTTCCTGTTTATAAGAGGATACAAACATTTTATATATTTGTTACATTTGATTTGAATGCTTTCAATGTGATCTTTAAAAGTTAATTTTTGGTCAAGTATTAATCCAAGATATTTCACTTGGTTTGACCAGGAAATAGAAACTCCGTTCATAGTGACTATGTGACTACTACTAGGTTTCAAAAACGAAGCTCTAGGCTTATGTGGAAATATTATAAGTTGAGTTTTGGAAGCGTTGGGAGAAATCTTCCATTTTTGTAAATAAGAAGAGAAAATATCTAAACTTTTCTGCAGTCTGCTGCAAATAACACGAAGACTTCTTCCTTTAGCGGAAATGCCTGTGTCATCAGCGAACAAAGATTTGTGGCAACCCTGAGGCAAATCAGGGAGGTCTGAAGTGAAAATGTTATACAATATAGGCCCAAGAATGCTACCCTGAGGAACTCCTGCTCTAACAGGTAGTCGAGTTCTGTCAGTTAAATAATTTTGAACTAATTTCATAATGTAAAGTGGAAAATTAAACTTTTTCAATTTAGCAATCAAACCTTCATGCCAAACACTGTCGAATGCTTTTTCTATGTCTAGAAGAGCAACTCCAGTTGAGTGGCCTTCCGATTTGTTTGAACGAATTAAATTGGTAACTCTTAAGAGTTGATGAGTAGTTGAATGCCCATGGCGAAATCCAAACTGCTCATCTGCAAAAATTGAGTTCGTATTGATGTGAAGCATCATTCTATTCAAAATTATCTTTTCAAAAAGTTTACTTATTGAAGAAAGCAAACTTATTGGACGGTAGCTAGAAGCTTCAGCTGGATTTTTATCCGGCTTCAAAATTGGAACAACTTTTGCATTTTTCCATTTATCAGGAAAGTTAGCCAAATGGAAACATCTGTTAAATAATTTTACCAAGAAAGACAAGGTACTCTCTGGGAGTTTTTCGATGAGGATATAGAATATTCCATCATCACCTGGAGCTTTCATATTTTGAAACTTTTTAGTTATATACCTTACTTCGTCCAAATCAGTCCCCCAGGAATCATCAAAAATATTTTCCCGAGAGAAAATATTCAGAAAATCCCGAGCAACCTGATTCTCAATAGGACTAGTAAGACCCAAACTGAAATTATGGGAACTCTCGAATTGCTTGGCAAGTTTCTGAGCTTTTTCCAAATTTGTGATCAAAATTTTACCACCTTTTTTAAGCGCTGGAATAGGCTTTTGAGGTTTTTTCAAAATTTTTGTGAGTTTCCAAAAGGGTTTGGAACTCGGGTCTAATTTAGAAATATTATTTTCAAAAGTTTTGTTCCTCAGGGCAGAGAATCACTTTTTAATTTGTTTTTGCAAATCCCGCCAGATAACCTTCATGGCAGGATCGCGTGTTCTTTGATATTGTCTCCTACGGACATTTTTAAGACGGATCAAGAGCTGAAGATCGTCGTCTATTATAATTGAATCGAATTTAACCTCGCATTTTGGTACTGAGGCAGCTCTTGCTTCAACTATAGAAGTAGTCAGAGATTCAAGAGCATAATTTCATCTTTGGTTTGCAAAGGAATGTTTGGATCGAAGTTATATTCCATAAATGTTCTATATCGCTCCCAATCAGCTCTATGGTAATTGAAAATAGAGCTGTTGGGATTACAAATTATTTCTTGGGATATTTCAAAAGTTACTGGAAGGTGATCAGAACCGAAGTCAGCATGGGTAACCAGTTGGCTACAAAGTTGACATGAATCAGTTAAGACTAAATCAATAGTTGAGGGATTTCTTGCTGAAGAAAAGCATGTTGGGCTGTTTGGATATTGAATAGTGTAAAAACCTGCAGAACAATCATCAAACAGAATATTACCATTGGAATTGCTTTGAGCATTATTCCATGAGCGGTGTTTTGCATTAAAATCACCAATAATGAAGAATTTAGACCTATGACGGGTAAGTTTCTGGAGGTCACCCTTGAGAAAATTCTTTTGCTGGCCTACGCATTGGAATGGCAAATAGGCAGCTATAAACGTAAGTTGTCCAAATTTTGTTTCAACGGAAACTCCCAAAGTTTCAAAAACTTTGGTTTCAAATGAAGAAAGAATTTTATGTTTTATTCGTCTATTGTCTTCGTTGGTTATTTTTCGTGGGTGCGATTTGAACGGTGAATTGCGAAGCGAGTGGGTCGGGATTCGACTAATATACTAAGAAGACTCGCCTTGAGGAGTCTCACCGGGAAGGAACTTTGCTGGTCCACATGCAAGCAGATTAATTGGCTTGCTTGGCGCATAAGTGTACCGAGTTGTATATGGTTCTGGCCTCGTAACACAAAAACCGTTGCATAGTGATCTATACGATAGTAAACATGCACTTTCTAAGTTAATACTTGTGATATTGATGAGCAATGTTTATGAACTCTATAATTTTCACATAAGTTTTGATCATCTGAAATTGGTGTTCGGAAACTTTAAAAAAGATATCTAACTTGTTAAATTTAAAAAAAAACCCTATAGTGTTGCCACGTGTTGCGTTATATTTCAAAGAAGTGAGTCACTTCAAACTGATCCATTTCACCGTAAGATAAACATGCGGAGTAACCAACTATGAAAGTCTTCTGAACACACAGACGTCAACATGTAAAACAATAACGTTGGGGAATTTTCACTATTAAACCACTGTTCGTCAATCAAATCCGATTTTAGTATCACTGGTGTCACAATCTGACTCCCTTTTGGTACAAAACACATTGTGTTTCTATTTTGGTACGGCTCATTTCGAAATTAAAACACTATATGAAGGCATGACACTACTTGTGCCGACGCAATGATCTGTCAAATCGATTCACCTTTTTATCACAGGACTGCAACGTCTTTCATCTGCGAACAACTCGAGTGAAGCCAAATTTCTCTGGTGCTCTGGTGCTAATTTGACAGCACCTCCTCTTACGCTACGATTAAGCTTGGTACACGTTGCGCCGCGTTGCGGAAAATAGAGCTAGTTTTTTAGATAACGTTATAGTAAATCAAGATTCACGCAAATTATGCTCGTCAATTCGAAAATATAATAGGGGAAATGACGGCTTCGGCATGACAGACTATTTTCGGCAACCCAAACTTAAACACTATTTTCACTGGATTTTCTTACGAAAACACTTCGCTGAATGCATGCAAACGATTCTTTATGCTTTCAGCTTCAATTTGACTATATTTTTACCACTGAGAAAAACCAATCTAGCAAGGTTTTCTTGAAATGCAACACACGCACTACAAATTGTAGCTGATTTCGAGTTGCCGATAATAGAACAGCAGATTTACATGCAGTTCAAATGGAACGGTTGCCGAAGAAAAACTGGTTGCCGACAATACTCGCTCTCACTAGAGAAGATTGGAGCTTTGTAAAAGCGTTTCAAAACAGTTTTTGTCAATTATTTCGACTGAAATTGTTAGAGCAGCTGACAGCAAAAGATTGTAAACAAACCAATACTGCATATGTGTGCGTTCCTTAGAGAAAAAGGCTATAGAAAGAAGGTCGCTGCTTAGGTTGCCGAGAATACGTAAATTCCCCTGCATAAATTTTTAATTGATCATTGCAGGAAATGGAATGGTTTTGAGGGCATTGAATTGGTTGCCACTTTGCCGCATTTAATGTTACTTGATTGGAGCTTAACTATGTTATGGAGCAGCAGCGCTGCTGATGGTTCCGGAAGTTTTAAAAACTGGCTCTCATTGCAGGGGGTTGCTTTTTACTCTCCCGGTATAGAGAAACTTATAGAAGTGTTGAATCTAATGGATGTGATGATTATTTAAAATCTGTGGTTTAAATGTAAGACAAATTAAATCAAATATCAGAACTTCTCTAAACTATTTACCAATCATGTTTGATCTCCTTCCACCTTAATAATTTACGAATGTAAACAAACAATCCAAAGGTAACCCGCCGATTATTTTAGACAGCCTACGTTGACAAGTATCATAGATCTTCGTATCACACAGAGCCCTACCATCCGACACGATGACATCAGGTCAGGACCTAGGTAAACTTTAATCTAAACACGATCGCTGAGCACGTTTATTCAAATCTGGCCTATAGTTTCTTTAGACTCAGAACCGTATGACAACTCACATACCATCAGCAACAAAGTTTAGCTCAGTATCATTTAACCCCGCTGCCATTTGAATTCATTAGCTTACTTGATGCGTTGCATCATCGTGTTCAAATATGACTAGAACAATCTCCTGCGCCTTATTACGTATGGAAAGGTATTGTAAATATTGTCCTAGCTGCAAACAATGCAAATACGCAATTGACACATAAAGTCTAAAATACACGTTGATCTCAGCTGCCAAACAACCGTTGGCGGGCCATTTCACTCAGAAGTTATTTATGTTAATTGTTTGGACGGGATTGCTTCCCGCTGCTAAGTGAATTAATAAGCACTTTCGTTTCTATCGACGTTATGTCAACTGAGAGTTCTTTTTTTTTTCATTTGCCATTATCTCATCGGTAAGCAATGTATAGCAGCAGGTTCTAATCAATTTGGATGTAGTCTAGCGCGTGCCATTGTCCAGTAAACACCATGTTCGAAAACGTTTGCTACGTCGTGTGTTGCTTCCTGAGCGTAGTTGGATTCTTCGCGTTCCTTGAATTTTTGTACGATACTTTCAGATCACCTGCTCAAATTATTTGGAATTTGCTGTTCCGCAGGAGTCGTCTGACCGAGAGATATGGACCATGGGCTGGTAACGAGTAGCTGGTTGTATTATAATTTCAATACTGATCAATCTGAATACTTACAGTTATCACGGGTTCATCGGATGGAATTGGCAGACAGTACGCCCTAAATCTGGCTCGTGCTGGTCTGAATGTAGTGCTTATCTCCCGAACGGAATCCAAATTGCAACAGGTGGCGCAGGAGATTCGCTCCGAGTGCAATGTGGAAGTGAGGTGGCTTGCTGTTGACTTTTCCGATGGACCTCAAGTGTACGATCGAATTCGAATGGCGCTTGTCGGACTTGAAATAGGAATTTTGGGTAAGCTATTAGAAAAGCTTAAATTTTTTCATGAATCAACACAGTCCTCACTGAACGGTAGTGAACAACGTGGGATTCGTCCACGAGCATCCGGTAACGGTGGACAAAATCCCGAAGCAGGAAGTACTGGAAAGCTTCTCGGTGAACATGTATCCTACGGTGATGTTGGTTCACATGCTATTACCGGACATGAAGCGACGTGGGCGTGGCATCGTGATCAATGTAAGCTCCGCGTCAGGCCATTGCGCATTACCGTACGGCACGGTTTATGGTGCATCGAAGGCCTTTCTTAATTCGTTCAGCCAAGGATTGCAGGAAGAACTGCAGGACAGTGGAGTGGAGTGCCAGTTGGTGATTCCGTTGTTGGTGAACACTAATTTGAGTGCACAGTGGCAGACGAGGTCATTCACGAGGTCGGCTTCCGTTGAAGTGGAAGCCTTTGGGCGGACGGTAACTTGGTTGATTGGTAAAACGGACTTTACCACCGGTTGTAGGTTCCATGCCCTGCAGGTGAGATGCGGGTTTGTGTTGACTCGGAATGATGTCGGAATGTCTGAATCTGTTTTCTTTTTACAGGCTACAATACTAAAACTTTTTCCTCGTTGGTTTATATCGAAGGGATTGGGGAAGTATTTGAAAGGTGTCAAAATTGAAGCCAATAAGGGGAAGTAGTGATTGATGGCATGTTTTATTCAACGTGATTGTTATTTATTTCACTTAGCAGGGATCGGTTAATGGATGAGCTCCTTTTTGGAAAATCGATTAATATATAATATTTTTTACACAATAATTGATGTTTTCATTGAATTGCAACAGAATTGCTGATTATCGTCATTGTTTAAAATCTGGGCACATCGTCTCATCGAGCAGTTCTATAATGTATGAATTTAATTAACCAGCACAATCATAGGGAAAGTGGGGTAAAACAAACACCTTTCAATTCTATAATAGGTAATTCGTTACGTACTGGCATAGAGATTTGGAGTTTCCTTACAACTATATCGTCCCCAATTCAACGCGGTGATCGTTTATTTCAGTGTTTCTTGGGAATATACATAACCTGGGAAAATTCTCAAAAAACCTAGGCTTGTTCAATTAAATTCCCAGTTCTTCCAATCAGTGCATCTTTTACCTTTTGAATAGTTAACATAAACAGAATCTTGATCGGTTTATCTTAAAAAAAAAACGAACCCAGATCATAGTTTTCTCTCAGTTCTCCTTTGTTAGTATAGTTCTAGTATCAGGAAATCTCTATACGTAGATTCTAAAGTAGGACATGACAGCTGTATGCCACGCGACCTATGTGCCACGCGCGCTATTATAATTAACTGTCTCTAATTGAACCCGGTTTTTTACCCCATTGAAAGGTACACATTGAACCCGGAATCAGCTGAGTGCGCCCTTTAGTAGACATTTGTTTTGTCATTTTTGTTCAGTTGTTGATTGTTGAAACTACAATCAACATGATTGTGCTGTATCTTTTAGCAGCGATCGGAACATATTGTGTATTGATATGCTTATACGATAGCCTAAGATCGCCAGTCAGAATCGTAAAAAGTTTAATTTTGCCGAATCGTCAATCATTTTCCAGTAGATATGAAAGCTGAGCCGGTAGTGTCAATCAGTATTTGATGAAGTACATAGTGAAAAAATTGCTTCAATTACAGTGATAACGGGTTCTTCGGATGGCATTGGTAAATAGTACGCACTGCATTTGGCCAAGAAAGGCCTCATCTCAAGGACCGAATGAAAACTGATGACGATTGCCCGGGATATCCATTCGAAGTACCCCGTTGAAGTACGCTGGCTCGCAGTAGATTTCTCCGATGGATCGAAGGTCTACAGCAGGATCCAGCAAGGATTTAGAGAGATTGCAGTGGGTATATCGGGTAGGTTCTTTGAAATATCTGATCAACATATACGATCTGATTGGATCTTTGCAAACCCAGTCAACAACGTTGGAATGGCTTATCGCAACCCGTACACCCTGGACGAGCTTTCCGAGCGGGAGTTGGAGGAAACTCTCTCCGTCAATATGCAACCCACGACCATGATGACCTACTTGCTTCTGCCGGGGATGAAACGACGTCGTCGAGGGTTGATTGTGAACTTGTCTTCGGACGCCGCTCTTACCACATTGCCCTATGTCGCTCTGTACGCTGCTTCCAAGGCGTACCTAAGTAGTTTTACAATGTCTTTGAGAGAGGAACTTCGCGGCACGGGAGTCGAGTGTCAATTAGTAATTCCACTGTTTGTTTCTACCAACATCAACGAACAGTGGAAGAGTGTCAGCTGTTGGAGTGCTATCGCTGCTGAGGTGGAGCGGTTTGCACGGTTCGCGGTGTTTACGATGGGGAGAACAGATTGTACTACTGGATATTGGAAGCATGGTGTGCAATTAACAGTGATGAAAATGGTTCCACTAGGGGTAGTACGTGCATTTTTACGTAGTGTGCTGCCCCTTTATCGAGGGAAGGTCGTTATGATTGTGCGGAAAACGTCATACATTTTAAGGTTTGACGTTGTTTGTTCTCAGCTAGTTCCCAAATTTATTTTATAGATTTGCGCCCAACCAACCATTTTGGTGCTACAAATGAGTGCTTTACAAACGTAGTCGTACTGGAAATAAGTAGAATGCAAATGAATTACGTTAGTAGTTGTAGCAAATTAGGTTTAGAAGTTAACTGGATTATTAGTAATACATCATTCAAAATTAAACTATCGAATAATCCAGATCAAAATTGTATCCCAACCCTTGTTGAAAGTGATTAAATCGAAATTCCAGTTGCGAAAAGAAGAAGTGACTCCTAGTGGTGGTTAGACAAAAACCGTGAAGTTCTGTGAAGAAATCAACTGGAATGTTGATGTTCAAACCCCCGCTCAAAATAATTACTGTGTACATTGAATTTCCCCCTGCTTCAAATTGGAATGGAAATCACAAATTTGGCTCAATCATCCATTCCATAGCAAAACGATATCGCAAAATATTAGACCCCTTTTATTTTATTTTGTCATTAGAGTGACCATTTCCATGTTGAGGTGGTCCAAAAAATCATTTTTTTCAACAATGAACTATTTCGAAAATTCAAAACTTTTTATCCACTGGGCCGATTTTAAAGAACAAAATATTAAATCAAATGTAATTAAACACACTTTTGAGGAAAAACATACTTGCCTTACCAATCACGCTAAGGCCTTGTTGTCCTCTGCTGTACGAAGAAGTCGTATCCACTCTACTCGATCCATTGCTACATTTCGCCAGCCTTGTAGTCTGCGAAGGGTCCGCAGGTCGCCTTCTACTTGGTCGATCCACCTTGCCCGCTGCGCGCCTCTTCTTCTTGTTCCTGTTGGGTCGCTTTAAAGAACCATTTTAACTGGGTCGTCGTGCGGCATTCTTACGACGTGCCCAGCCCACCGTAGTCACCCAATTTTTGTAATGTGGATGAAGGATGGTTCTCCCAGCAGCTGGTGCAATTCGTGGTTCATTTTCCTCCTCCACGTTCCGTCATCCATCTGCATTCCACCGTAGATGGTACGCAACACCTTCCGTTCGAAAACACCAAGGGCGCGTTGGTCCTCCACGAGCATAGTCCAGGTCTCGTGACCGGTCTAATCAGCGTCTTGTAGACAGTCAACTTCGTGTGGTGGCGAATTTTATTCGACCGGAGCGTTCTCCGGAGTCCAAAGTAGGCACGATTCCCTGCCATAATGCGTCTTTGAATTTCTCTGCTGGTATCATTTTCGGCGGTCACCAGTGAGCCCAAATACACGAACTTATTGACCACCTCGATTTCGTCACCGTCAATCTGAACTCGGGCTGGGAGGTTAACATTATTTTCTCTAGAACCTCTTCCTTTCATGCATTTTGTCTTTGATGCATTGATGGCAAGCCCAATTCGTCAAGCTTCAGCCTTCAGTCTGATGTACGTTTCCACCACCGTCTCAAAGTTCCGTGCCACGATGTCGATGTCATTGGCGAAGCCAAGAAGCTGGATGGACTTCCTGAAGATCGTGCCACTTGTGTCTATCCCAGCTCTTCTGATCACACCTTCTAACGCGATGTTGAATAGTAGGCACGAAAGTCCATTACCTTGCTGTAACCCCCTTCGAGATTCAAAGCGACTCGAGAGTGTCTCCGAAACTCGAACAACGCACATCACTCGATCCATCGGTCGCCTTGAACAATCGCGTCAGTTTATCCGGAAATCCGTGCTCGTGCATAATCTGCCATGGCTGATCTCGATCGATTGTGTCGTATGCGGATTTGAAATCGATGAACAAATGGTGTGTGGGCACGTTGTATTCGCGGCATTTCTGCAGAACGGTAGCCTGTCGTCTTCTGCGCGTGCTCCAAGGTCTATTGCCGTACCACCTTCGTTTTCTGTTGCTTCACCGTTCAGGTGCTCGTCGTAGATCTGCTTCCACCTCTCAATCAGCTCACACTCGTTCGTGAGAAGGTTTCCGTCCAAGTACTTGCCCATATCGGTTTACGGCACGTAGCCTTTGCGTGAACTATTTAGTTTCTCGTAGAACTTCCGTGTGTCGTTTACGCGGTACAGATTTTCCATCGCCTCGCGATCTCGGTTTTCCTGCTCACGCTTCTTTCTTCGGAATACCGAGTTTTGTCTGTCCGCGCTTGTCTGTATCGCTCCACATTCAATCTCGTGCGGTGTTGCAGCATTCTCGCCCGTGCTGCATTCTTCTCCTCTACTAACAGTTTGCATTCGCCGTCGAACCAGTCATTTCTTCGGTCCGGGATTGCAGTACCTAGTGCCGATGCAGCAGTACTACCTATAGCGGAACGTATGTCCCTCATGCCATCTTCAAGAGAAGCTGAGCCAAGCTGCACTTCCGTGGGTAGTGCAACTTCCAGCTGCTGCGCGTAGTTCTGTGCAACTCCGGCGTCCCGTAGTTGCTCAATGTTGGGTCGCGGCGTTCGACTTTGACGGGTGTTATGCACCGTCGAGAGTTTTGAGGGCAAGCATACTGCAACTAAGTAGTGGTCCGAATCTATGTTCGCACTGCGATACGTGCGGACGTTGATAATGTCGGAGAAGAATTTCTCGTCGATTAGAACGTGATCGATTTGGTTTTCTGTGTGTTGGTCAGGGGGTCTCCAGGTGGCTTTGTGGATATCCTTGCGGGGGAAAAAGGTACTTCGAAATACCATACCCCGAGAGGCTGCAAAGTTCACGCATCGTTGGCCGTTGTCGTTCGATACGACATGCAGGCTGTTTTGCCCGATTTCCGGTCTATACATTGCCTCCCGTCCTACCTGAGCGTTCATGTCGCCGATGACGATTTTGACGTCCCGTTGCGAACAGCCGTCGTACACCTGCTCCAGCTGCGCATAGAATGCTTCTTTCTCGTCGTCGGGTCTCCCTTCGTGTGGGCAGTGCACGTTGATGATACTGTAGTTGAAGAAACGGCCCTTAATCCTCAACTTGCACATCGGCTGCCAACCAATCATGCGTTGGCGCATCTTACCCAGCACTACAAAGCCGGTTCCCAGCTCGTTGGTGGTGCCACAGCTCTGATAGAAAGTAGCCGCTCAATGCCCGCTTTTCCATACCTTTTGTCCCGTCCAGCAAAGTTCCTGCAGTGCTACGACTTCGAAGTTGCGTGGTTGAAGTTCGTCATAGATTAACCTATCGCAGCCCGGGAAGCCGAGCATTTGATGTTCCGAGTTTCCAATCGTAGTCCATATTTCGTTGCGTAGGTCTGTGCCGATTGTTCCGATCCGTATTTTTTTTTCAGTATTTGCAACTTTATGGTTTTTCCAGGGCGGCTTGTTGGGCCTGCCCCAATCCCCTGTCTCGCCGGGGGACCATCGTGCACAGCTCTGTTTAGAGTCCCACGCTGGCACTAGGACGGTGATCAGCCGCTACTAACATGGAGAACAGACACCGTTTTGAGCCGCACCTCCATGGTAAACAAACGCTCGGGTTTGGTGAAGCATTTCCTCTATCACCGTACTATGGTTACCGCGCCAGTGTTCGCGTCGCACCTCTTCACTCTGCTATTGCCGGACTGGCAACATTGCCCAGGCTACGCCACCCAGCTGTGTCCATGTTTTACCTGGTAGTCTTTTGTTATCAGGAGGCGTGAAGTAGGAACTTGTGAGGACCAGGGCTAGGTATTCCGCTCTTTCCAGGTTGTCAACTTACCATTTTGTAGCCCAAAGAGGAAAAACATAATGATATTTAAATTTTGGGATCTTAAATTGAAAAACATTGATTGTACCTATTAGGCACTACCTGTGGTAGACTAGATTTAGGTACCAAACAAACCGGCGAATTTCGATGACAACAAACATAAGATTTTGGTCCTTTGATATTTTTTTTAGATTCTTGGACCTGATTATATTTTTATGTTTCGAAAAGATTTTAGCTTTTAGAATGAATGTCAGGGACAGCAGTGATAACATCAGGTAAATTATCAAGGAAGTTAAGGGAGGGCTTTCTTTAGAACGCTAAAAAAGCACACGTAAAACGGAGTACACAATTTTGCGTCGATTATAAATGACATTTTATTATTGATCAGAACAGTTTAGCTTCGAATCCCTCCTATTTATTTCTCGGTACATCTACCGATTGTGTATTTTTTTTTAAAGATTTAGTGCGTTTTGGGAACCCAAATTTATCATTTTGGATAAGAAAACGGGGTGTCTCTGTGGTGGGAAAAGTGATTTCCCTATCACAGATTACAGATTTTAGTACGAAGCAATGACGATTTTCAGACGGTTAGCATTGTAAGTCCCTCCTACTTTAAGAATTATGCTATGGAATGGCTTGCTATGCCTCGCCTCAATTATAATTGAGGCGAATGATGAAGCTACCGCAAAACAAAACGTATTTTTGGGAAATTATTTTTTTTAGCAAAATTAATGACCGAGAAGTTTACTTGTATTAGAGAAATTTTCCCATGATTAACCCTCCAAAAATCAAAAATTAAGGTGAACATCTTGATTATATTATTATTTTAATATTCATATCAGATTGCAATTTAGGAACTAAATGTAAAATTCTAGGTATTCGTATTTTTTTTTTATACTAAATATGAAATCCAAAATATGTACATGGGATTGAAATAATAGGTTGCTTCGTCTGTATTTTGTATGCATGTATATTAAATCCAACTTCCACTGTCCGGCAGTGTTTTCATGGAAGAAAAATGTTTCCAATATTAATCTATTATTATCTTATACTGATCACATTGCAAACAATTTTAGCCCGGAAGTTGAAAGGTGATAGATCTGTTGAGATTCAGTAACCCATTTCAGAATGCCTGGTAAAACGGCGCCGGTGGTGTAGTGGTAAGCGTGATTACCTCTCACCCCAGCAGGCCTGAATTCAATCCCAGTCGACGCCGCCGGGATGTTCTGAGGCATAACATCTCTGATCACGCTTTCCTTCTGATGGGAAGTAAAGCCGTTGGTCCCCGGTTCATGAGTTGATGGGTCGATAGGTAGGGTCTAGGTGTGGGAGCTGCCTTCCTGGCACGTCGGTAGCATTGGTGCTCAGCACGGAAAACAAGATCGACGGAAAAAACAAACCAAAGGAAAAAAAAAAAAGAATGCCTGGTCACTCACGTCCATTCCGAGGTAACTTTCACTTACAACAAGCCCCGCATACACGTAGTACCGATATAAAATGTATATTGATACTGCGTGTACACTTCCATCATCAATGCATCTGCTTTTATTTATTTATTTATTTATTTATTTGTAATTCATCTGACATATGTGGTTTTAATGAATATGAGAATACATTTTCAAAACAGCTACAAAATGGAAAAAACTAGTAATTCTATTTTTAAAACGACCAGAAGTTTCGCCGAACTCAAAGAGATCCTCCACCACCGAAAAAGCTCGAATCATCGACGATATTGGTTCATTATATCCAAACAAAGTACGGTGAAATCTGTCCTGTAGTAGTGATCGCTGCCGAAGAGGACGTTGAGGTCCAACATCGAAAGTAGCCGGGGAGAATCGACTTCACCATTTAGCAACTTCGCCACGAATGTCGCCTGCTGTAGTCTTCGCCTTCTTTCAAGGGTGTCCATGCCCAACAGTCTACATCGATCGGGATAGGCAGGGAGGTTCAACGGATCGCGCCAAGGTAGATGACGCAGTGCTAGCCGGATGAATCGTCGCTGGACACGTTCAATCCTTAAGGTCCAGGAAACTTCATTTGGAGTCCAAACAACAGAAGCGATTTCGAGAATTGGCCGTACCAGCGCGCAATACAAGGATTACAAGCAATACGGATCCGTAAAATCCTTTGAAATTTTCGAAATAAAGCCCAACTGTCGATTCGCCTTGGCAATTCTCGAAGTTTAGTGAGAATTGAACGTCAGTTTTGCTTTGTAGATGGCACGTATTTAGTAGGATGCATTTCATATTTTTGTATCTAGTTGTAATCAGTTAGGTCTCACCGCTTATGTATTGTGTCCTCGACGTGTAAGCATCGTAGTCTAACCTGCAAAATCATCTTTCCCGGTTATTGTCCAGGGGGCAGAACGCCAATACCAAATACGTAAAAAGACACGGCAAACGTTGCTTCCGGGAGTAGAGGCGTAGCACCGAAACACGCTAGCACGACGCTACAGCAACACAACTATTCAAACAAAATTCTTGCCCGGGAATTTTCACAATAACTTACAATATTAAAACACTGATAAATTAATCATGATGAATCTATATACACATGATAATAATGAAAACGAATTACTTTTTGTCTTGGAATTTGTGACAGCGAAATTAAAACCGACCGTGTGCGGGCAGAGCCTACTGCGCACTTCAGGTTGCTTCTTCTGTATTTTAAGTCAATATTAAGAAAAATGCATGAGAATTTCATGAAACAGCTTAACGTAGTCTACGTCAACCAAGCGGTCGTGGCTTGTAGAAAAATCCACCCATTTTTTTTATAGAACCATTGATAAATATTTCGTATGCATATTTTGACCAGTAAAGGCTCAAGAATAAATGTATCATATGTGAAAAAAACTACCCCATCTTCCCCTTTTTTCGGAATCTTAGACTTGAAATGAATTCAAATAGATGAATTTCAAATAGATGTTGTGATATTTTTGAGATCATCACCCTCGGGCTTAAGAAAATTGCATAGCAATGTAAAATATTAAACGTAGGAAAATAAAAACATCTGGAAGAGTTTTTATTTTTTAACTTTTTTAAGATTCTGAATTAAAAAAAAAAGAAACGATTTAAATTGTTTCCGAAATTTTCCCATATCAATTCTTTACAAATTGTATGTAGCTTGCGTTTACCTTTGTATACATGAGACAATTTTTTCATTTTTTTTTTTGTATACCTGAGAAATTTGTATACCTGAGAAATTCGTCAACCGGATGCAATATATATAGGAGGTGTACGGATTTCAGTCCTGCACGGCGTGCCTTTATTGGTTAGAAATGTAAAACATATATGTAAAAATTAAATAGTAATATGGAATCGAAATATGTACACGTAAAACCATTTTTTTTACATCCAATGTGAGGTTGCATTTATCACATCCTCTTCATATGTTTCATATAACAAATGTAATGGCAGTTCTTGCAATAGACTGCAGCGTACAAGCAAGTTTTTTAGAATGCATATTTTTGTATAAAACTTCCACTAGATGATTTTCTAGACGCAATGCGTTTTGGAAAACAAACTTCCGGCGAACACATTGCAAATCCTGCATTTTTTTTCATTAAAATGTGTAATAGAATCTTACATTTCCGATTGAGTGTATATTAGACTGATGCAAAATTTGACTTTTTCGCTCTACAGTGCTTAAATGGTTTCAAATCGGGTCCTGATTAGCCTCCCAAAGTTACAACTCATTTGGAACAGACTTCGCACAAGCCATTTGAAATTTACATGTAAATTACTATGGGAAATCTCAACTTTTTGTTCATTGCTTTCTAGTCTTTTTTCATATTGAGCTGCGAAACAGTTCGATAGCCATTCTTATAGAAAATTTTCTCAGCTACAACTTTGCTGAAGATCGTTTCTCTGTTAAACGAGACAGGAAAAAGTTATTAATTATTTAAGAGATTGGTAAACTTATGACATGATTAAACAGCTGCTCTGTAGGCAACACTGTATTTTGCAGTGTGACATAGTAGCCATGATTTTTGTGTCCTATTTAACGCCCCAGAAACACCAATGTTGCCTTCTGAGCAGTTGATTGAGCATGATCATAAGACATCAGCGCATTGAACCATTGATTACTTTCGATCCTTGCATTTAATCAAAAAGTGGTCTTGAGCAAAGTTGTAGCAGGGAAAATTTCCTACAAGCGCAGTTGAAAGCTTTTGAAGCAGACCAATATGGTGAACTATTAGATAAACATGAAAAAAATCTTGGTTTTACCATAGTAATTCCCATACAAACTTCAAATGGTTTGTGCCATCTCAGTTTCTCACCAAATGGATTCAAATTTTGAGAGGTTAGTAAGGATCCGATTTGGAATCGTTTAAGTATTGTGGAGCGTATTGTAGATGCATTTCCTATCATCCTCCACAGCGAATGATATAAGTTGATCTTGCAGACGATGCAATATCATGTTTTGTCTACGCTTTTGACTATACAAGCAAGCATTTTATTTATACAATTGTAGAACGACGCACAAACTTGCCACGATTCTCTCAAATTTCCGTTCAGCTGGAAAAGCATACGAAATCGAGTTATCGTACTATGAGCGTTTCTTGTTCGCTTTTAGCCTATCCTTGTTCCGAAGCATGGAGAGAGCATTGGAGAAAGCACAGGTCTGATAATCGCAATGTTGGTGGCTCGAGTCCAGTCATCTTCTACTATTTTTAGTCTACATAATTAATTTCATTCACCAATACACTCCTCCTTTTTTGGTCTCCAATTTCTTGCATTGGACCCGCAGCTCGGCATTTCTCATCCTCCGTAAATGCGGTCTCCACTAACAACATTGTTGCAAGCAAATCTTACATCCCCCTATGTAAGATCACTTATCATCCAAAGTAATTGTTGTAACCGCAATTTTGTGCTAACAACTTGTTTGTACCACACGATCTCCCGCGCTACTTGAAGTCTCACGCAAATTGCAAATAACTCGCCACCGTTTGCAACCGTCTTCCCCCAATATCCACATCGCATACAAATCAGTTTCAATTTAGTCTTCCTCCAAGTGAGTCAAAACTGTCTTCTAATGTTCAACTCAATCGTAACCGCTATCGGCATATACGCGATCGTTTGCTGGTTGTACGAGAACTTGTTTGCCTCATTGCTCAGCATCGTATGGCACACGGTGAGGGAGCGGACGTGTGGTGGCAAGAAGCGATCGCTTGCGGAACGTTATGGAAAATGGGCAGGTAACAGTGTGCTAAATTCCAGTTAACGGGTGAATTATGCTTTGTAATGCTTATTCCAGTCATTACCGGAGCCACCGATGGAATTGGGAAAGGTTATGCCTGGCATTTGGCTCGCCATGGAATTAATTTGGTACTCATTTCGCGAACGGAATCAAAGCTGAAAATGGTAGCCAAGGAAATTTATGACAAATTCCCAGTGGAAATTAAATGGATCGCTGCAGACTTTACCGATGATTGCGGGATATATCCGAGAATTCGGAAGGAGCTTCAAGACCTTGATATTGGTATTCTCGTTAACAACGTCGGCATGGCAGCGGATCGTTTGGATCCATTTGAGAGCTTCTCCGAAGGTGAGCATCGTACCCTGCTGAACGTCAATATACTGTCAACTCTTTGGATGAGCCACATGGTACTACCGTGGATGAAGCATGCAAGACGTGGAATCATAGTGAATGTTTCATCAATGTGTGCTCGTAGTCCTGCGCCGCATGGTGCTATGTATTCCGCGACCAAGGGATTCGTCTACAGTCTAACGGAGGCGATTCAACTGGAGCTGCGAGGCACAGGGGTCGAGTGTCAACTGGTCGTTCCACATTTCGTTCGAACGAATTTGATTGAAGATTTGGACGTTTCGATTTTTGGTAAATGGTTCCTCCCGGATGGGCTGCAGTATGGACGATGGGCAACTTTTTTGATCGGGAAGACGGGCAATACTAATGGACATTGGTATCATGCGCTGCTGGTGGGTAGAAGTGGGATGTTTGAATGGGATTGTTGATTTTTAACTTATCTTTTATGTTTTAGGTGCTGCTGCAAAGATTAGTTCCACTCAGCATTCAGAAAGTAATCATCGGTATTGTGTTTAACCATTTTCGAGACCAAATGAAAACGAAATTGAAGAGTTAGAAGAGCGTTTTTTAAAGATTATATTGAAAGAATATCCCGCCTCATCGATTGTCTCGGCAATTCTGAAATTTATAGAGTCAACTGTTATGAAGACTTTTGGTCTGTTCTCCTACCGCTTTAGCTGATTTTTTTATGTGACTTATATATGATTAACACTAAACACTTCAACTTCTATTCAATTTTAAAACTACCGTACTCTAGTGGAACTATCAGACTATTCAGACCTTTCTCTGGCTAATAAATTATCACACTAAAGCTTCACGTTAGATAGTAAAATCGTAAACTTCACGTATGAAGTAGCATAAAAACACTTTGAATGTTCTGAAAATTGTTGAGAACTTCAGGTCCATTCGACTAATTTCAGAAAAATTGTAAGAACTTTATAGATGTCCCATGTTCCAGTCCAGAAAACAAAACGAAATTACAAGCTCCATGAGTGTAGGAAATTGAAGAAAATTTTGAAATCTTTTTGTTCATTAAAATTCTATTAGCATCTTAAAATTAAAAATTACTAGTAATTTCAAGAAGTTCTGAGAATTTTATGGAAATTCCAAGAATCTAGAAGAAGCTCCTAAAACTTCAGGGAAGTTCCAGAATAGCTATTGTAAGTTCCGATAGCTTTCAATGCCTTTTTTGGAAAACTTTCAGAACATCGGTGATGATAATTGAGCTTCAGCGCAGTTCAGTTAACAAGACGATTTCAGGAACTTGACTGAAGATGCCAAAACTTCAGTTGAGTTTAAAGGTTTTAATGGAAGTGACGCAACTTCAAGCAGTACTGAGAACTCAGTGCATGTCCATATCGGGATAATTGCGGGAATATCAGGGAAGATTCGATAACTTCTGGTAAATTTTGTATACTCTTGGGCAGTTCCTTCAATTTCAGAAAATTAGAGATAATCTTGAGAACATCAGGGAAACTCAAGAAACTGCAGAAAACGTGAGATCTTACAGGAAGTTTTATTAATTTCAGAACAACTATTTTACGAGCTTCAAGGATATCCAGAGAGCTTTAGGGAAGTAAATAAAACGTTAGAGTTGCCCATAGAACATTAGGAAAATTGTTGAAACGTTGATCCCTTTACATTATTATGTAGTTCCAAGAATTGTAGGGAAGTTCTGAGAACTACCGATTTTTTTTTAAATCTTTAGACATCACGTTCTTTGCATTTTTTTACTATGTCTTATTCTATACCCAATGCTATTATAAATCTGCCAGGACCATTTACCGAACGTATCCCATGGTTAGACTCTTCTCGTTAACAAACTTGCAAACTCCTGTGACACTTATGAGAGGTCGTAGAGTTCTCTGCATATATCTTAAGTATGTGTCCAAAAGAGTCTGAGATCAATCCCATATCTCGGTATATTACGGTAACGGGTGGAGGTGGAAATACTCTCAAACAATAGTCTAGGACTTGCACCATTTTGTGAGAATGCGAAGTTCCATTCATTTTAGGGCAGAACCTCCGGAGAATTGAAAGAAGTTCAGAATAGCTTCAAGAACATCTGGAAAGACCGAGAGCCTCTGGGTAGTTAATTTTACTTAAAGAAAATTGCAGGAACTTTACAGAAGTTCGACAATTTTTAGGGAATTTTTGGAACTTCATTATTTGAGATTTTGAGGAAAGTCCATATAATTTCAGAGTAGATTTTTAAGTAGTTTCATTATTCAAACTATCATCTTTGTACTTCAAGGTAGATCAAAGAGCTTTAGAGCATCCATTAATTAATTGCAAGAACTTTCAAGAAGTTCCAAGAATTATGAAACATTCAAAGTGTTTCAGATATGTTCCAAAGATTTCTAAAAATTTGGAAGGTCTTCTGGGAAATTATTGGAACGTAAGAGAAGTTTCGAGAACTTCTTGAAAATTTAATGAACTTTATATAAGTTGAGATATTTCAAAGGTAGTTCCATGAGGTTCAAGCCATTATTGAAAACTTCATGAAATCTGTGGGAACTCATGAGATTCAGAGCTCTTACTTCAAGTAAGCACCGAAAAATTCAGAAAAGTCTGGATTTGCGGGAAGTTTCAAGATTTTGATTTATTAGTATTTTGTTTCGGCTTTTCATTCTACAAGAAAAAATGTAGATTTCAGTTTTATCACCGTGAACTTCTCGATCCAGGGGTTGAAATCTTCATAGTTGTACTTTGAGATCTTAAAGATTTTAACACTCAATAATAGACGAGACAACTGAAGATGGCCTCCAAAGATCGAAACGTTCGACATAAAATATTGTTGATCCATCGTTAGGCTAAAAAGCAAATTACTTCTAATCTTCTCGATCTTCTCCAATTTCTATAAAACTTTGCATATTTGTTGTTCATGGGTAAATTTTTGGCTTTTTTTCTGAAATTTTGACTTGTTAGATTTTGTAAAATTTTCAAAATGGTGTGTTTGAAATAAAAAAAGTGGCAATGAAATAAGACTTCTGATCGAAATATCATCTGACACAAAGTTGTAGAGAAAATTATTGTTTGTTTAGAAAAAATCTACAAAAAAAAAAAAAAAAAAATTAAGTAATTTCTTGTAAATATTATAAAAAATGTTAAAAACCTAAAGATCTTAAAATGTTCTAGTCCGATTTTTGTTTTTTTAAGCTTATGAAAAATGCATACTTTTGGGATGTTTAAAATTCAAAACGCTTAAAAATTTATAAAATCGTAGAACAAAAGGTTTTGGTTAAATTTTTGAACAATTTGTTGAATCTTTTTTCCATGTAATTTTCACTCAAAAAACAATGCGAGGCATTTTATATTATTATAAAAATGAACATATCATACCATAACATACCATTCAAAGTTTAGAATTTAAATCAAAAGTGTTTGTTGTACGATTTTTGTAAGTTTTCAAATGCCCATGATTTTGAAAATAAAAAAAAAATGCATTTTTCATAAGTTTTAAAAAAATATTAAAAACTCAGGCAACAACATTTTGATACACTTTGGTTTTAACATTATCTTTAATAAAAAAATAATAAAAATAATGTTTTTTCTTTTCAGGAAGATATTATTTTTACTTGTCTCAGACGTCATTTAAATTAACAATGCCGTTTCCGTGCAATATTTTTTTGAAAAATTGCATGGATGCCATTTAGAAACTCAAGATCAAAAAGGGTCGAATTTTAACAAAAATGTGAATTATTGCCCATAACAAACAATTTTTCTATAAATATGCTTATCAACCAATTTGGAAACTATTACGCAAAGCTTCATCCAAATCGGAGAAGGTCGACTAAAATATTTTTTTTTTTAATTTTGCCTGGGCGGTTCATAAACTACCATCGACCTTTTCTCCTTTCGACCATGTGTCCTTTTAGACCATTTGTCTTTTGACCTTGTATCTTTCAACCTTTTATCTTTCGAACTTTTGTCTTTAGACCTTTTGTCTTTAGACTTTTTGTCTTTCGACCGCTTGTATTTCAAACTTTTGTCTTTCGATCTTTAATCTTTCGACCGTTTGTCTTTTGGTACTTTTGTCTTTCGACCTTTTATCTTTTGACCTTCTGTATTTCGACATTTTGCCATTAGATCTTTTGTATTTTGACATTTTGCCTTTACACCTTTTGTCTATCGACCTTGTGTCTTCAACCGTTTGTCTTTCGATCTTTTATCTTTCGACCGTTTGTCTTTCAACCGTTTGTCCTTCGACCGTTTATCTTTTGACCGTTTGTCTTTTGACCTTTTGTCTTTCGACCTTTCGTCTTTCGACCTTTTGTATTTCAAACTTTTGCCTTTAGGCTATTTATCTTTAGACCTTTTGTCCTTCGACCTTTTGTCTTTCAACCTTTTGTCTTTCAACCTTTTGTCTTTCGACCTTTTGTCTTTCAACCTTTTGTCTTTCGACCTTTTGTCTTTCGGCCTTTTGTTTTTCGACTTTTTGCCTTTCGATCTTTTGTCTTTAGGCCTTTTGTCTTTCGACCTTTTCTGCTTTCGAAATTTTGTCTATCGATCTTTTATCTTTAGACCGTTTGTCTTTCGAGCTTTTGTCTTTCAACCTTTCATCTTTCGACCTTTTATCTTTGGATCTTTTATCTTTCGGCCGTTTGTCTTATGAGCTTTTGTCTTTCGACCTTTCATCTTTCGACCTTTTGTATTTCGACCTTTTTCTTTAGACCTTTTTCTTTAAACCTTTTTCTTTAGACCTTTTTCTTTAGACCTTTTTCTTTAGACCGTTTGTGTTTCAACCTTTTATCTTTCGACCTTTTGTCTTTCGACCTTTTGTCTTTCGACATTTTGTCTTTCGACCTTTTGTCTTTCGACCTTTTGTATTTCGACATTTTATCTTTAGACCGTTTGTCTTTCGACCTTTTGTCTTTCGACCTTTTATCTTTCGAGCTTTGTCTTCCGACCTTTTGAGTTTCGACCTTTTGAGTTTCGACCTTTTGCCTTTCAACGTTTTGTCTTTCGACCTTTTGAGTTTCGACCTTTTGCCTTTCGAAGTTTTGTCTTTCGACCTTTTGTATTTCGACCTTTTGTATTTTGACCATTTGTTTTTCGACCCCTTGTTCTTTTGACCTTTTGTCTTTCGACCCTTTGTCTTTCGACCATTTGTCTTTCGACCTTTTGTCTGTTGACCTTTTGTCTTTCGACCTTTTGTATTTTGACCTTTTGTCTTTCGACCTTTTGTCTTTCGACCTTTTGTCTTTCGACCTTTTGTCTTTCGACCTTTTGTCTTTCGACCTGCGAGGAGTGCTTTACCGGCCACTGCACTGAGACCATCCGTAAAAATTAATAAGTAATCTGGTGCAAATGAGGCGAATTGTTTAATGTTGATTTGATTCAAATTTGATGATCTCTGATTATTGAATGTGAATAAATCTTAATCAAATAATATGAATTAATCTTAATTCACAATTACAAATGATTAGGATTTATGAATAAATCAATTATTTATTTAGATTGGGACGATGGCTATATTCGATCATCCCTAAGGTGTCGAAGAGTCCTTGGTTCAAGGGGTTGGATGTGGGTCGAGACTTCATTCGTATGATGTCTCGCCTCATGTCCAATCACTACTCGTTAAACGCTCACTTGTTCCGTGTTGGGCTGGGGGACAGCAATCTCTGTGAATGTGCACAACGTTACCAGGACGCAGATCACATTATTTGGTCATGTGCTGAGCACCGTGAAGTCAGATCCGAGTTGTACGATTCCCTTCGGGGTCGAGGTAGACAACCTAATGTTCCAGTTCGGGATATTTTGGCTAGACGCGATCTGGTGTTTATGCAACTGATATATGTTTTTAAGAATATTAACCTTAGATTGTAAGTTTGATAAACCTTGTATTTAGTTTGTATTTTGTGTGAGGGTGTGTGTTTGAATATTTTGTATATTTGTTTCTGCAATAATTGTATAATTACATGTAATAACGTTGATAGGATTAAGTACATGTTTTAGAAATATTGAAATTTTTGAATCATAAATCATATTCCAAATCTCTTTCTCCCTCTCCCGATCCAAACAATTGTCATCCACTTGCCTCGAGAAGAGTAATCGGTTCAAATACTTTAATTTTAGATTTAAGATATTTATAATGTGTAACGAAAATGAGAACTTGGCTCTGTAACGTTTATACGATTGAGCCTGTACAAATAAAGTAATTAACAAAAAAATAAAAAAAACATTAGACATTATTTGAGAGTCGTTAATGAATAACACTCTGCTCTCACAATAAGTTAGGCAGGTGGTGTTGAGTTTAAACGCTAATCACTTTTCAGCTTTAACTCAAATTGACTTCCGGTCTGGAGCAAAGCTGTTCTCCATACCTCAAAGGTTCTTTATTTTTCATTTTTCGAACACCTGCAGCGCCACCAAGGGCTGATTTTTAGCTAAAACTTTGTGCCGATTTTTCCCATGCAAACTTCAAGCCGTGAACCAAATGGCTTTGAATTTTAAGACGGTGTGACCTCCCATAACCATTTCAAGATTTGAGGTTTAAAATTCCAGGATCGACCTGATTTGGGCCCTATAATGACTCCTGATTGTCAATTAAACAAAAGGGATTATTTTTAGCGCTAAATTGTTCTATGCAGCGATAAGTTCATTGATTTCCCATAGCAATTTAAAACCCTATTACCTGTGCTAATTAAACATATGAATTTAAATCGCTTTGCAAGATATCCCTCGATGCTAACCTGAACTAGGCAGTAACGACGCAATTATTAACAAAGTTGTGCGCTAGAAATAGTAGAAATGTAGTTACATGCATTTTTTAATCGGTTTGGGTCACGACCTGTAGGATGCGAAGCGTTTCCCGAATGCAGTGCACATTGCATCTAGGAAGTAAGATTTTTCCTATCCACACAATTGAGATCATCAGCATCAACTTAATCATTCTCGAACTATTAACACTCTGTATACAAAATTTAGAATTGAGATAAAAGAGAAAATGCAACTCACTTAGTGCACAGTAAACAGAGGCGTTCGTTCAAATGGTCTGTCATGGATAGCGATCATACAATGCAAACAATCTAGGTTCTCATTGTCCGAGAACGCTACTAGAGCTGAAGACGATTGTAATTATCTTACGTTCAATGTTAATAAGTTGCACTAGACATGGGGGGCTGAGTGCAATAGTGGACTAAGTCACAATTAAATGATTCAAACTTTGATTCTATCAACCGATCATCCTAGATTGATAAAATTAATTTTCCTTAGCACACTAAAAATCATCAAAGTTGATTCACTTTGCCACTGAACTATTCAGTTGAAGGAATTCACGGCGTTGTTGTTATTTTTTTGCATTGTTATTCTTAGTCGAGCGTTACTGGTGTACAGATCGCATTGAGTCCGGTTGACCACAAACCGAACATGATGCTTCTGCTGCTCTTTTTGGCGATCATTGGAGCTTATGCCGCTGCTTGGTGGCTACTGGAGAACCTCATCCTGCCGCTGTTTCGAATCGTATGGGGCACGCTGAAGCAGCCACTCTGCGGAAAGAAGTCACTAGCCGAACGCTATGGGCGATGGGCAGGTAAGTTCAATAATTGAAGTGTGAATGATAGCGATGACCAATTTTCTTTGCAGTCATAACCGGAGCAACCGATGGCATTGGAAAAGGCTATGCAGTCCACCTGGCTCGAAAAGGGATGAACTTGGTGTTGATATCTCGTTCCGAAGCCAAGCTGATCAAGGTCAGTCGAGAGATTCAAATTGACACCGGAGTTCAGATCAAATTGATCGTGGCTGATTTTTCGAAAGGTGATAGCATCTACGACCGCATAGGAAAGGAACTGGAACCGGTTGATGTGGGAATTCTCGGTGCGTTGTGTTGTGCTTAGTAGAGGTGGTGTACATTTGCTTATATTTTTCCGAAATTTTCAGTTAACAATGTTGGTATGGCTTCGGATCGTATGGATCATTTTGAAAACCACCGTCAACAGCACTATCTCCAGATGGTGAACGTCAACGTGCTCTCAGTGCTGATGATGACCCACATAGTACTGCCGAAGATGAAGCAAGCTGGCCGAGGCATAATCATCAACATATCGTCTGGAACGGCTAAACTACCTGCTCCGTACATAACCGCATATTCAGCATCGAAGAGTTTCGGTCATAATTTTACGCTAGCTTTGCAACAGGAGCTGCGTGGGAGTGGAGTTGAATGCCAGCTCGTGGTGCCCGGATTCGTGCGAACCAATATGGTTGATGCCTGGGATGTGACCAGGTTCGGTGGAAAGCTTATACCGGATGCCAACCAGTTTGGAGCGAGTGCCACTTGGTTGATTGGGAAATCGGATTGTACCAGCGGACATTGGTATCAGGGGACTTTTGTGAGTTGTTTGGTGGATAACATTTTAGAGTGTATGGAATAAAATGATTTTTCATTTATTTTAGATGCTGCTTACCATGCTAGTTCCTCAGTATGTTCGTATGAGAGTCAATGCTGCAATTTTCAAGCATTTGATGGACGGGCAACATGTCGAAGTGAAGCGAACAAGTTTGTAAAATAGATTACCGAAGTGCTCTGATCATGTATTCCAAATATACATATTTACTTATGATAAATACAAACATTTAAATTTACGGTAAATTACATACTTTTACTGAGAGGAGATTGGCAGATTTTTTGTTTGTTTAAGCTAGCTTAGTGTGTGCAAATTTATGTTAATCAATGAATTTCAATGGACGACGTTTAAACCTGAGGTTTATTCCACTTGAACCACAAAGCTGCTCTATCGCTTAAGAACCTGTTCCATATCTGGAATATATAACTATTGTTCAACTGTGTATTCTTCTAAGAACTGTGCACAATGAAAATACCTGACGGACTAGGTCAGTGATGGCTAGGTGCTTTTATCACTATGATTCAACAACCTCAGCTTGAGTTTGTTTTTGTATTTCGAATGTATGGCTGAAATGTTTGGGAAATACGCAAAATTCAACTTAAAATATGACCATCGAATAAAGACACAGCTATTGAAAAAATGCTCATGCACCACTGGACTAGGTGATTTTTTTTTCTTGGTTTGTTTTCCGTCGATCTTATTTTCCGTACTGAGTACTAATGCTACCGACGCCTGGAACCTACCTATAGACTCATCAACTCAAGGACCGGGCTATACTTCCCTTCCGAAGGAAGGGGTGATCAGAGATTGTATGCCTCAGAAAATCCCGGCGGCGCTGACTGGGATTGAAATCAGGTCTTTTGGGGTGAGAAGTAATCACGATTACCACTGCACTACTGGCGCCGCTACTAGGTGATTATTGTTTCTATCAACTGAGCAGAAGGTTGTGTGTGGCATTTCTGTCTCTTAGCTGCGCCGCGAGCTATGTTCTACAGGGACTTTTTCACAATTCGACGTGACTATCAAACCGAAGTGAATCAGCAGAGTCACACTGAAATATTAAGTCTCGTTTAGACACTTAGAGTAATCTAAATTGATTGATGAGCGTTTTAGTTGAATAATTGTATACCTTATTACGTTGTTTTTCCTTTTAATTCTACTACTAGTGATAGTAGTAGAAATAATAGAAAAAAAAAAACATATCACACCGGAGAAAATCAGTTGAGCCATATTGTAGGGCTGCAATCTCTTGTCTATTCAAATTCTATGCTTTATACATAGTTTACTTAGTGCACTTAACTTCTATGTTCTATGTTTTATGCAGGGTGCCTTCCATTCATTTTGACTAAAAAAATGTTTTAGGAAATTATGGAATAATACGATATTATGATGGTATTTTGTATGTGTAAGGAACAAGACAAATTTTTAAAGTTTGTGTTTGACACATAAAACCTGCAAATTTAGCTTTGACAGAGCCACAATGAGCGATTTTCTGATCGCCTCTTCGCGAAGAGTGAAGAGTGAAGAGTGGGTGAGATAAATGACAAAATCGCTTATTGCGACTCTCATGCAGCAACATTGGCTGGTATTATGTGTCAAACACAAACTCCACAATCTTTTCTTGTTGCTTACACAAACAAAATATTATTATAATATCTTATTATTCCATAATTTTATAAAACATTGTTTTAGCCAAAATGAATGGAAGGAACCCTGGTTTTATGAATGTTATTTTTGAAAAATATAGAATAAATTCTCTGCGGTAATTACATAAGGGAACCAAATTTTCTCATGGCATCTGCCTTTTGAGGCTGAGGATAAATTAGAATTGCTGAATATTTTGTTTTGTCAAGTTGTATGTCTTGGTCTAAGATATAGTTGCCTAGATAAGTCACGTCTGCACAATAAAAATTTGCATTTTGCTGGGTTTAAAACTACCAAATTGCAAGAAATGTTGCTCACAGATAATGATGGTTGCATAAAATATTTGAAATATTTCATGAAATGTCTGATAACTTTACATGATCTATTATGATATATTGTATGATATATGACGCTACATGAATGGAAACTTACATTATTTTATTGAACTGTGTAGATCTTTGTACTTTCAAGCAATGGCAATGAAAATAATCCACCGAGGAGCAACTCCGAATACAAAATCTCTGTAGCTAGGGAGTACCTCTCTGGAGCCCCATACTCAACTCTGCAACTAGGGAGGCTATCTTCTGAAGCCACCAAAAGAGACGAAAGTCTACGGCTGAAAGTCTCTCTAATAAATTGAAAATAAAACCCATCGAGGGATCTCGAGCAAATACCATAACTACATGACCATAAAGTATAAGGAACAAACTTGTGTGAAGAAAAATGTTGTTGATACCCCTAGACCGTGCAAAATGAGTTTTGTTTGGATGTTTAGCTTATGAAGCAATGAAAGGTGCCAGTACTGAACTTGATCTTCTTTAATTGATTTTTGACCTCTTCAAAATAAATAAAATCTAATTCACATAGTTCAAGAAGAATTCAATGCATCTTATTAACCGATATAATTTTGAGTTTGATGTGTCTCTATGGAGAATGTGGCAGCTGCGTGGTCTAATTGTCCTTTGGAGGACCTGGGACCAGATTCAGGTTGTTTGCTAAAGTTGTCAGTTGCATGGTTAACTGGGATCGTAATTTTCAGATAGGTTTGGTGTTGTGATTTTATTGGACGCATTCTCAATAACAGCTTGAGAAAGGAGCCCATTTGTGGAATGCCCACCGACAGGAGATTTCCGAACACATTCGTAATGTGGCTTTATAATACATGAGAGTTTCATGCCTACATGATATCATACACCACTTTTTTCACATCGTTTCGGCGGTAAATCTTTTTGAAAGCATTACAAATATCACGTAATATTTACGTATCCTAGGGATGTGACCAATTACTGACGGTTCGGTTGAAGATAGAGAGTTCACATTGTTCAGGAAAATATAAGGGGAGGAACTTTGAAATGAGGCTTCGTTGTCTTATCATAGAATTGTCGCCAGTTATTTGTTATAGTTCTGATGCCGATCCCAATTCCGGCTCCCTAGAGATGAACTAGCCTAAGGCTAAAAATCTCTTTAATAAAACTTTAAAAAAAAATTCCGGCTCCGACGTACAGTCTTGTTCAATCAGGAGCCAGTTTTTGTCTATGTTAAATATTAATTATGAGGTCTATATAACTGCAGTTAAAACCTGAATTAATCCAATCTGACCCTTCTTACTAATACAAATGTATGTATGTATGTAAGGTAGGCACCATCCCTTCAAAGATCTTGTCTTGTTTGCAGCTCCACATAAAAGCAAGATCAATTTGAGCTACCGATCTGAATTCACAATATCGCTGTATGAAGGGCCAAAAACGGAGGTGCGAACCCGAAAGCAGAATCACTTACACGAAATCCACGGGAATTTAAGAATCTCCTTCCAACGATACGATCCAACAAATCGAATAACACGATTCGCAATACCCTTCTTACTAATACAAATTCTACCAAAAGTGTGTTCATGTGATGTGATAGTATCGTATGATGGATTTGGACCCTAGTCAGAGACTGGCCACTTTCCGGGGGTTCCTGAAACATGGCCAGATGTGTTCAGTGTGTCTTGAGCACTATGAATTGCTACCATTGAACTGGATTTTGAATTTCATTTCATTTGAGGTGTCACAAGATGGATTTTATTCGTTTTAGGACGGATTTACTCTCATGATCATGTTCTGGAAATATCTCCGGAACAATTTGACCTGTTCTTAACATATTAAAAAAAAGTTCTATATAATTTTGAGTACCTTTCATTTGGTGATTCCTGATGAATGTGGGTGTTTTAGTGGAATACCTGTATAAAGAGAGAGAGAAAGATTAGTAATTTACATTTAATTCCACTACCTTATTTGCTTATCCTTGACAGATACGCTTATTGCGTCTACAATGTGCAGACTTCTTCAGTATCTTGTACTAATACTCGACTGAAGAAAACATTGCATCTCTCTCTCTCTTTATTTCATTTGGTGTTTGTTGTATCCAATTCGGTTCAGTGGTTGTCGAACCACACGGCTTAAAGGGCGGAACGAGCAAAACGTAGTCACTCAAAATTAAGTGTAATAAAATAATGTTGATAAATTAATAATCTGTATCTGTCTTACATTATTCTGGCAGCTTACTCTCACATGAAGCCCTGATGTTGATGGGTGTGCTTTATGTGGAAGATGATTCAGTACATTTTTGATTCATTGGTCACCAGCGTTGATTTGAGTATGGAGACATTATATTTTGCATCGGAGTTTTCTGTATATTTAGTGTAATTTGGCAGCCCTTAGTATTCACCTTCAGAACTGGTAAAACGATCCATAAAAAAATGAAAAACACCCTTAAAATCACTCAAATGATCCATAAAACCTTGCATAAAATCCTAAAAAAGGGTAAATGATACATAAAAAATATCATTTTTTATGATCCACATTTTATGAAAAAAATCAGCAACACAATTATAAAAATGTAAATGTACTAAATTTATCTTATTTTATTTACACAATACTAGATTAATAGCACAAGAATCTACTAATGATTTTCAGAGTATATGCTACTATTACACTATGGATGTACCTATTAACCTAACTGAAGTAGTTGCTGCATATGTTTTTGAATGTTGTTAATCTTCTTGCTGTCTTGCATTCCCTCGGTAGTTCATTTCATACTCGAATCGAACTATAGTGCATCGATTAACTTTAAAAGGCTAGAACCTAGAAGATTGTGATTTAATAAAGAAGTTCCGAAGATATATCGGACTTTCGTTTAAAATTTTAAAAGTTTGAATACACATTCTAAGTTTCATGTAGTTGACGACATTAAATACCAAGTTTAATTTCTTTGCATTTGTCTTTGAAGTTAAACTAAAGAGAATATCCCCGCACTGAGGAATGACCAATTTTAAAACAACTAGCGAGTTTATTGCAGGGTTTCCGATGATCAATTGAATCAAAGGCTTTGCTGAAATCTAAGAGCGCCATCTCTGTTAACATTTTGTTATCAAGGGCATTTCTTAAATCGTCTTTAATTTTTATAAGAACTGTAATCGTGCTGCAGTTCTTACGATAACCAGATTGTAAAGAACATAGCAGATTATGATTATTAAGATATTCGTTTAGTTGTTAGGATAGAATTGATTCAAAAATTTTCGACAGAGCACAAAGT